AGGAGGCATCCATCTAAGGTTACCGACAGGTTGTTGAGCATAAGGTATACCATACCAATAGTTAACATTCGTGCCATTTATTGTTACTTGACGCCCAATATAAACGCCTTGTTGTGTTTGAGCCATCGGTGAAATGTTGGTCGCTTTGATGACTGGAATAATTATCGATACCAACAGTACCACTGTCAGAGCTTCTATCATGATCATGGACTGAGTTACCATCCTTCTACATAAATTTATATGATTTACTTGTATTTTTTTTTGTATACTCTTGGATGATACTGGTATAAATAGGGATAGGATACTATGAAAATACTCTCTCACTTCTACCTTTGTGTTAGTCACAAAACTAGGCAAGTATGGACTTTTTCGAGTGCACGTGCGAGTACGAGTGCGCGTTCAAGTGCGAGTGCGAGTGCGAGTACGAGTGCGAGTGCGAGGACGAGTGCGAGTGTCACAAACGTTGAAAATGGTTGAGACAGGATCGGGAGTATTTTTGCCGTTCTCCCACTATGTTTATTTAGATATCATCAAAGAGAAAGTAAAAAAAAATATGAATAGAAGAATGTTAACCAACGCATAATATCTCGATAAGATCTTTCTTAAGTTAGAATGCATTAACCATCTTTTGAGGAATATATAGTAGTTTTTAATCACTTATAAAGAAATATTGATAGCTGATACTCATAAGAAAAATATGATTAAAAATTGTTCTTAAGTAGTGCAAGTGGCTTCAAGAGAAATTATCTTCTTTCACTAAAGCTCAAACGACAGAAAAGAAAAAAGTATGAGTAAAAGCCAGTATTTCATTATCAAATGTCACATCCCTTGCATCCAGTCGACATTTGCATACCTGACAACAAATATAGAGAACGCAACAAAAAAATGAATACTTGCAATCAACAGAATAAGCAAAATTACGATCATTGACTATTCGTTTTCACCTGGCAAGCATTCCATGTTGCACTAGTTATTCTTTTCTTTATTATTTATAGTTCGTTTAGAAATATTTTCTCCACACTAAATTAGAATTGAAAATATGGGTGAGTATGGAAAAATAACTACCACGATCATAATTTCGATCCTATTCAAAGATCTTGTAAAGTGGTATAATAATCTACATATGAGAATTAGGGAATTGAAATAGTTAATGTTAAGAATGAGGTTTTGAAATGTCAAAGAGTATGTTTTAAGTAGCAGATAGTCATGCAGTGTCTTATCCTAGATATTCGCTGATTGCTAGACTTATGTGGTGCTGGTCTAATATTGTTGTGCATTTGTTACGTTAGTGATGGTCTCTCTTAACAGACTTTGCTATTGTTTGGTAATGAGATGGGACCTAACTGTATTTAGAAGACTACAGATGTATAATATAGTTTTTAAAATTGTACGTGTAGCTAGATTATGTTTATATTAAAACGCAAAGATGTTAATTATGTTGATACAGCAAAAAGGGGAAATATTGTTCTCTCATCGATATTAAGTGAACTGTTTCCATGTCTAATTTAGTTAGCATGGTTTGTGGTTGATTTGTTGTTTTTGGTATGTTGAATTATTTTTGAAGTATGTTGCGAATTTGTATTGGGTTATATAGCTGGCATGTTGAATCATATGTAATCGACGATTCTCAACAGCTTGAGTCACAATGACTTGTATCTGAGATGGAGATTCGTCACCTTTTTGATTAAAAGAATACTTTTGTTTCTCATCACATACAATTTCAATAAACTTCTGTACCATTTGATGGTCAGTTATAACACTTTGATGAATAATATCATGTTTCAATTGATTCATTTTATTAAATTGATGAGATGAAAAATTAGTTGTTTTATTTTGTTCCATAAGTGCTTTTGATTTTAAAAATACTGTATCAATATTATCTAACTTATGATCAAGAAGAGTAGATGCCGACGGTAATTGTTTCGATGTTAGACGATGTTCCAACATAGCCATCTGTTCATTCATCATTTTTTGATTTGCTGCAGCTTACCATATGCGTCTTGGTGAGATAATCTGTAATAAATTTAAATGTATGATAATATTTCGACCAAAATCAAAGAAGATGATTGAATTTATACTAACCTGTGATTTCTTTGGTCTACGTAGGATATCTTATCAACCGATTCGAGTATTTCTCTTCCCGATTCCCTCTTAAACCGATTCCGATATCACTTTCATTGGTTCCAAGTAGATCTCGACGAATTCTATCGATTCCAGGGGTTGATCATCGCTCTAGATCCCTCCTTACTCCCAAGAGTACGAAATAACCGTGGAAAACCGATAAAATCTCACAAATATCGTTTCAGATTTACTCCTAGATCGATTTCCGGATGTGGGTGTGTGAATGTGCGGTTGTTGCAATATCCAACCTGAATCTACCGAAGAAAGGGGAAGCTGTATATGTTATAAAGGATCTAAGACAATAGACAGAAATATGTATAGTTTCGGGAACAAACGGACAGGTACGCGGTAGACTGAAGCTGGTCATGCGAAACTGTTTGAATGCATAGTAAGACTGATATGTAGAGTTTTGATAAAAGCATCTAACAGACTTTCAGTTAGCATTGTAGATGAACTTAAATCAATAGATATCTTGGTATTGCTACATATTTTCAAAAATGTTTTTTTTCGTTATTCATCTATCTACTCTGTGAATTACGCTCCCATAAATCTGAGTGACGCGACTAGCAATATTGTGTAGATGCGTTATATTTGAAAAATTTTTGTTTAACGTCAAAACGCAATGAACCGCTCATTATTATTGCTATTAGAGGTACATAAATTTAGTGTTTGGTTATGGTGAAAATTATCTGTTAAGACCCTTTTATTACCAGTTCACATGACGAATTAGTGTGCAACATAATTACACTAGAGGAAAGTTTTACTGCCGATGGACAATATTTTTCACACTTTGCGAAATCATCTATACTTTGTGTATTTCTCACTGTGCCCTTCTTCAATCTGTAAATAAAATAAGTATATACATACAAGATGAATAAAAAAGCTTGTTAGCGCAGCTCCTTCGGAGCTGAAATGTGGAACTCACGTATATCCTTCAACTTTGCTATCCTAATACATCAACCGTAAACTGAAAAATTTCTCGTCGGCTGTAGTTGTTTTCACTAATAACCGATGACAAGAGCAAGAATTTATTATTTATTTCTACATTTATTTCTAAATTTAAAACAGGAATTTTTTATTTTTTCTACGGGCGCCCTATCTTTTGTTTGCATTGTTGCTATTCGCTCATTATTTTTCATTTTTTTTAATTCATGTTTTTTTTAATTTAATATTCTTATTATTATAATCATTGAATCGGCAAATAAGTCCATTTTACATATCCATGATATCTATGGCAGATTTTACGTACTATTATATATATTAATCAACTCACAAACCATGATGTTCATTAGTCTTCAAAATTATAACTTTACCAATTTTTCAAAAAAAAAAAACTCTAGAAAATCTGACATCGGTTATTCTCCATTGGTAAAGTCTGTAATGGTGGATTGTCTGTAACTGGGGGTGTCTCTAATGAAGGGGTGTCTGTAATGGAGAGGCCTCGTTGCTATGGTGTGCAATGGGTGGGGGATGTCTGTAATGGGGACGCCTCGTTGCTATGGTCTGTAATGAGGGGAGGGGGGGGGGGGGGGGGCGTGTGGTGGGGGGGGGGGGGGGGGGGTGGGTGGGGGGGGGGGGGGGAGCCGCCAAACCTCACACTTAAAACTTACACTCACTATTTTCTTCGAAAACATATGTGAGTTCCACAAAAGAATTCTCTACATGAAATTCCTATTTGAATAGAACAGCTGATGCGATATGTACTGTTCTTGCTAATCATAGATCAAGTAATAAAATCTATATATATATAATGTTCAGTGTGCGTCTGTGTGTGTATGTCTGTGCCAGGCCAAAGGTCAAGGATCAAGGGTGAAAGGTCAAAGGTCAATGATCAACAGTTAGAGGGCAAAGAACATTCGAGAATTTTCACTGACTGTACATCATGGCCATGAGCCATGAATCATGAGTCATCAGTGGTCGATAGTCAGTTCAAGAGAATTTTCTCGAAGATTCTAGGGGAGAGGCTACAAGAGGGTGTAAATAGACCCATCGCAGTTCTAAACAGATCATTTTTTAAATATTAACGATGACCAATACACCAGAAGATTCTACTCCGGATCATGAATATGAAAAGTGAATATCAACAGTACATGCCCAAGAGAATATCTTGCATTCGGGCGATGCTGGTAAGCAACTTACACGCAAAACATCACATGGAACCCTGAGATGAAAACTCTTCTAATATCCGAAAGGATTCGACTACGGCGTGCACAAGAGAGCGAAGAAACCAGAAAGGAACGACTGCAGAAAGATACAGTAAGACATCGCTTGGGACGTCTACAAGAATCAGAGTAACAAACACAAGAACGTCGACGAAAAGGAGTATCACGAGAAAGACAACGATGATAAGACAAAACGGATGAAGAAAGACGTGAACGGCAAGTAAAAGATGCATCACGAGCAAAACGACGAAGAAATGAAGAAACTGATGATGAACAACGTGAACGACAAGTGAAGAACGCTTTTCATCAACATCATCATCGACAACGAAGCTCATCTTTATATGTAGCTGCACTTCGAGACGAATTTCCGGCTGAAAGTTATTATGGGACAATGGATAGTCCGTGTAAACACTGCAATGCTCTACATTTTAAAGGTGGATGCGCTTCTGATAGAGAGAATTAATTTAACCTATGCTGTTACTATGAATCTGTTCGATTTCCCGAACTGCTTTCATATCCACATGAAGTTAAAGCTCTTCTACAAGGAACCGATGCTGAATCAAGAAATTTCCGGGAAAACATTAGAAATTACAATAGTGCTCTTGCATTTGCACCTGTGGAAGCTCAAATCGACTTGCCGCAAGGATTAGGACCCTACTGGGTGTGGATGTGGGTGTGGGTGTGGGTGTGAGTCTTCTCTTCACCCACATCAGCACACCCACCCACATCCCCACACCCACACCCACACCCACACCTCCACCCCCACCCACACCCCCACCCCCACCCACACCCAAATTCAATTATCAATCAAAGTGATCTCAAATTAAAACAATGATCAGTGAATCAAGAACAGTTCGTTTTAGACAGCCAAATCGACATCTGGCACATTGAAACATTTTCATCTTCACTTTATTTTATATTGTTATGTAACAATACCAATGCCATATAGAACTTATTTCGTATAGCTAATACTTTTTGTTTAAATAGCGTCGCAATGCTATTATAATTCAATAGATTTTATGTGACTCGTGAAGTCTGAGAAATGAGAACATGTTGTTTTAATTGAATTGAAGCTGAAAAAAAGCAATGATGATTTGCACACTGTTGAAAAAACATATCCAACCAAATTATTTCTTCATTCGCAAACATTGTATTATGATTGCCAGAAAATAAAATATGTAGGTGGCTGATGAATTTCGATATTTATAGAACACAAAGAGTGTGCACACATCTAGAAAGCATTATTGCCTCATATAGATTGCCATCATGAACGTCCGGAGCTCAAGACAGCATCCCTGGAGTGAGTGGTCATTGGAACAGGTTGACATTCCTCATACCCAAACTACTTCACCCATAAACAACAATTCTGACCCTCAACTTCAAGATAGCAATCAACGGCGTTTGAGCAGTCAAGAGCGAAAGAGGTAACCACCCATTTAATGAACCAGTATTATTTTGTTTTCTTGCAGAATGTTATCCCTCCTCAAAATCAAGCAATGTTGCACGTCACCACTCGCTGAGGGTCTACTTGTGGGCGTTCTCATTGGTGCGATACCGTTCGCTGTTTTTTGCATACTGTTGGTGAAATCGGGCAGTGATAATTCAGCGATCGTACAATCAGCTGGTTCCACTTCGACAGGTATGTATTTGGTTTTTACAATTGATATTGTTTTCCACTCTAATCGTATATATCACTTTGCAGTTTTGAGGTAACACATAATTTAGAGACCTAATATAAGTTGCAATTGGTTATAAAAATCTCATAGTTGTACAAGCGAAAAAGTCGACTGGATTTTCCAGATTGTGCATGTATACGATTTAGACAGTCTATGATGGAGCAAGCTGAAATTTCTTTTATTTATAACAGAGAATGGCGTCATCTAGGAAAAACAGAAGGAAACTGAGACTCGTCCAGTGGATGTACTCAGGAAAAATACAAGATTCTTCAAATCTGATACTTTCAGGACTGATAGAGCTTTCGATTAAAAAATCCGTAGACATGGGCTGGATAAAATTACTTTTCGGAGCGTTTGTTCGTTGGGAAACGATCTTCAAAGATTTTCCTTGGGTAATTACCATATTGTTGCTTTCCCTCGGATAAGCTACTGGAGTAATATTATCAAGTGTTAATGAATTACCGTGGATATAATTCGAGTTATTATCTTGATGATTCATCATCTTTGTCAGTGGAGGTTCATTGTAAACATTTCTGTTTATTTTCTTTTCATAACGAAGATGTTCATGCTGAACTGGAATGTATAATTTACCATTAAGTTTAATAATTTCAATCTATTGTGCGTCATTAGATCTAATAACTGGTTTTTCATCAACTAAAGCTGATACATGCTGATGTGTACAGATTAGGTTTTGGTTGCTACCATCATTAATCCTCATATTTTCATCCCTACGTCCATTTCTGTTCTTGTTGAAATTATTATATCTTTTTTGTTTTTGAGAGTTCATATTTGAAATCATTGTATAAAGAAAATCAAAGGTGAAAAGCGTTTGAGGATACTACCTCTGTTCTTCAAACAGGAGAGTAATCTAAGCTAAAAGCGAAGAGAGAAAAGAAAGAGCGTCTAATCGCCATGTATGTAAGAAGAGCAGTGAAATTGAGCAGTTGTCACTAGATGACTTGTTAGAAAGGCCTGACAAATTCTATTTCCTTCTAATTTTTTGAAAAGGTATGACATTACTCACTGGTACAAATGAAATCATCTATGGCCTATGGAACACAACTGCTGGTGGTAGTAGCAGTCTATCGATCCCTGGTAACAGTATTGGCACTTATAATCCAACTCAAACACCACAACATGTCTTTGACCAGAATAATATTACTAAATATACTAGTTATGGCATTTGTAATCAGAGTGCTATCTATTCATCTCGATGTGGTGCAAATACTGGCCTTTATCTAACACTTCAGCGAGGTGGATCATTACTGACAGGTATACGATTTTATACTGCTAATGGTCTTCCAGAACGCGATCCGATGACAATAACTGTAGAAGGAAGCAATCAACCTTCTTCTGCACTTCTACTCGGCTCAAGTTGGACTTTAATATACAATGGTTCAAGTGGTCTGAATTCTGATCCAGGTCGATACAGGCTTGGTGTGACAGAAACAATATCAAACAATGTCGTTTACTATAAGAGCTATCGTCTTCTCATCACTTCCATACGTAATATATCCAATGCTGCTCACTATAGTGAAGTAGAATTGCTTGGCTATTGACATTTATCATGTTGTTGTTTAATATTCTCTGTCAATGATTAACAAATTTTCATTTTAAACTTTTATGTTCTTTTCAAAAAAGTATTGTATTTCCTGAGCAACTAATTGTACGATGTATCGGAAGACAATAAATTATCATTCCACAATCATATGTCTATATGTGTCAATGCAAAGATATATTATTTATTAATGAAAAGGTCAAAATTAGATTTAAGAATTTCGACCTGTCTTCTATAGAAAATCGAAATAATTACGATATACAATTCACACAAGTTTGTGCTGCAAGACAATAATCATGTAGTATTAAACATGTTTTCATTCTACAATACGGATATTTTCCGCTATTAGGCAAAAAAGTATCCGCAATCGAGATGTAGTCAAATATTTTGGTTAAAACCATAAGATTATCCGAAAAATGTAGTGAGCAAAAATGACTTCAATGGTATCATTGAATCAAAGTAGAAAATCACTGAAAAAGCGAATTTGGAACAAGTTTTGAGCGATGAAAATTAAACCAAGCTATCGAACTGTTGTTTTGATAGGTTTATTCTTACTAACGAGGGAACACAGAATTGATGAATCGCTTTTGAGTCGAGACTATATGCATCATATAGTTCTTAATGAGTTATAAATATCCTGAAAAGAGTTCGAGCCTATAGCTTATTGATGCTGAGATACTACATTTTTATGGTATTTTTGACAGAATGCTGCGGTTCCCTCAGGAACACCGAAAAATCTAACTTTCGAATTTCAACTTGAAACTTTGCACAGAGATAGGTCTTAACGAGTATAGATTATTGTGAAAGCTTCAAATCTTTTCATTGTTCCTATTCTGAAATATGACTATGGTAAAAGCATGGCGTGTACATCGCTTATAGACAGGGGCAGACTTGATGTTCTTATTTCAAGACAGGGTGCGAGGGTGGAAGTGGCTAAGGTGTAAGTGTGGAGCGTGGATGTGAATGTGAGCGTATGGATGTGGGTATGTTGGTGTGGGCGGGTGTGGCTGTGGTTGTATTTCTTCTCTCATTTGACGCCCACACACCCACATCCGCACCCCCACACCCACACCGACACTCAGGGTATGGATGTCGGTGTGGGTGTGGATTACAGTAGGCAGAAAAAGGGTACCAGGAGCAATCCTCACAATTGATAAAGCTAACAACTTGATATTTTATATAATTATGCTTCTCACTTAATGCTGATTATCTGTGCTTATTGAGGCTCTTGTACTCGTAAAATTTCTGAAAAAATAGGTTTTTACTGAATTTTTAACAAAACTCCGTGCTCTCCTTCAGGTCACGTTGAAAGTTGAATTTTTAGTTTTGCCTTAAAATTTTGCAGAGATAATGTTTTCAATGAAACCAGTTCGCTGTGAAAGTTTCAGCCTTTTTTGTTGCTTCTATCGTGAGATATGGATATTCAAAATTCTGTTGTGTGAGAAAGCAAATTTTGTGCTTTTGCTAGTATATCACGAAAGAAGCAACGGAAGAGGCTGGAACTTTCACAATGAACTAGTTCCATTGAAAGCATTATCTGTGCAAGATATCAAGCCAAAACGAAAAATCCACCTTTCAACGTGATCTGAGGAGGAGTATGGCGTTTTGTTGAAAAATTCAGTAAAAATTCGATATCATAGGAACGAAGGCCTGAAAAACTAAATCATTCTAGACTTTTTCTATGCTCATCAGTACTCATCAAATGAACATAGTCCAAAGCCAGAAACGACTTAGCACTGGAAGATGTTTCCTCGCGAGTTACCAAGATTTCTCTATGAAGAGTCCAAAGTTAGAAACTAACTATGGGTTATGTTTAGAACCAAACAATCGTTGTAGTACTTTTAAAATTCATGAATTTGAGCTTGTACTGTCTATTGAAAACGGTTGGAACCTAATCGATCTAAAAGATAAGTATTTATTATACAAATCCCTCAGAACTAATCTACATAACAGATTATATTTGCGACGTCGTATCTCAATAAGAGTGGGTGTGGGTGTGTGGGTGTGGATCTGTGTGGGTGCGGGTGTGGGTGTGTGGGTGTGGGTGTGTGGGTGTGGCTGTGGGTGTGGATGTGAGTGTGAGGTGTGGGCGTGGGTGTGGATGTGAGTGTAGGGTGTGGGTGTGGGTGTGGGTGGGTGGGTGTGGGTGTGGGTGGGTGGGTGTGGGTGGGTGGGTGTGGGTGGGTGGGTGCGTGGGTGTGTGGGTGTGTGTGTGGGTGGGTGTGGGTGTGTGTGTGTGTGGGTATGGGCGTGGGTGTGGTTAGTCTCTTCAAACACCCACATCCACACACCCACACCCCACACCCACACCCACACCCACACCCACACCCACACCCACACCCCACACCCACACCCACACCCCACACCCATACCCACACCCACCCACACCCACACCCACCCACACCCACACCCACACCCACACCCAAGAGATGTGTGGTAGAATAAGGGTGTGGGTGTGGGTGTGGCTATTCTTGATACACAGCCACAACCACCCATACCCATACTCACACCCACATCCACACCCACCCACACCCACCCACACCCACACCCGCAGCCACAGCCACACCCCACCCACACCTACTCACACACCCACATCCGCTACTCTCCGATTTTCTTTGAATCAAAATAGATATTAAAGCATCTGATAAGATCCTCCAAAAAAGTTGAAATTAGTCATGGTTTGATGTACTCACAGTCTTAAGATATTTTTCAGATAAAATATTTGTTCGAAAAAAAATTCTTGACAAATGATATAAATATTACTGACGAGATTCGTAGCGAAATCGAGATGCATTGTGAGAGAGCAACTAAAGTATCATTATTGGCATCTCGCAAAAAAAACACTCATTTATCATCAACATTTCAAATTGAAGAAACATAATTTATTTTGCAGATTATGAAGTTGTATAATACTGAAACCATTAGAGTTATTCTTAATAAACATATTCTTAATAAACAAAGAGAAGATAAAGAGAGAGCTTTAAATTTAGCGAAGTTCACTCAATATTCATGAAAGTCTCTTCAATGACCTTGGTGGTTTTCCTTGAACGTTGTTAGTCTTCACAAGCTCTTTTCCCTTGTCCTTTTTTCTCTTCTTGATGTTCTGATATGTAAATTTCCTCTGACTCTTGTTCTTCAAATAGACAGTCGAAACGTTTCGAATTTGAAAGAAAGCTGTGAGCTTCTTCGCTGATCTGAAGAAAAAGTAGCATTGGATTAGTTTCAATACGTGTGGAAAGTGAATCGGATGCTGATGATTTGAGCGAGGCGACGTTAACAAGCAAAAGCGCTAGTAGCAGTACGAAGACAATATCTATTCCAAAAGTCGACAAAAGAATCAATAGAAAAAACCTAACATACGATTGACTTACATGTCATCTAGAGTAATGATGTTCGGAAGGTTGCAGAGCGTGAGTCAAAGTTTTAGTTGAGTCTCACTAAAATTGTCTCTCTATGAAAAATATAATAGCATTATGTAATCTCAAGCAATATATCGGTTTTGGTGGGATGAAAGAATACCGAGTATTTTTATTGAAATAATGTTAATAATTCCATCAGGTAGTATCTAGAACCAATCACTACGAACTCATCTTATGATCAAATATTGCACATTGTCAGTCTAGGGTGTGGGTGTGAGTCATGGTTTTAATTCATTCCACACCTACACCCATGTGCATCGATCAATTTTTTCCTCTCTTTATGGTGATGGATTAAGCAATAAAAAAGACATGTTATATCCTTCTTAAAGCAGACGATAAAGGTACAGAGTATTCCTTAACGCAACACGATCGAATCAAGGTGTTGAATATACTCGTGAGCATTCCGTGTGCGAATTGTCAGCCCAGTTGCATCGATCACTACAGCGGTGTTTGAATGAATACCGTGGACCTTCTTCATCCGTTTTTACAAGAATTACAGCATGTTCTTTTTATTACATGAGTAATTCCCATGAAGAGACGAAAAGTTGATTGATGCACATGCCTTGTCTTTACATTTTGTGAAACACGATCTCAAAGGAGTGTTGAAGTGTATAGAGTAGAAGTTTTAGATCCACTTCCCCGGCCACCTCTACCCCACAGATCATGATAGAGAAATTTCATACCCATCACAGACCGTAACAAAGAAACTCCGAATCCATCACAGACCGTGATAGAAGAACCATAGGAACCATCACAGATTGTGACAGAGGGACTCCACAGACCGTTACAGAGAAACTGTAGTTTTGAAATATCAGACAAATGATAAGCTACAAATCTATCGTAAAGAAATGGCAGAAAACGATGTCCATTTAATTAGTAACAATCGGCCCATCGTGTTTCACATTTTTAATCTCGCAAGAGATTGTGCTAACAGCTTTTTCGCGGAAAGTGGATGCCTATGCACAAGGGACACTTGAAGGACTGCTTTCATTTGTACAAAAAAAGACTCAATAAGAAAATGAAAAATGGGGCGCTTTGTTGACTGTCAGCAGTGGGGTTTTTTTCCATTAACATCCAAGATAAACAATGCAAAATCAATATTCAGGTGAACAGACGATGGATCAACAAATGTTGACAACCAAAACATGCTGTTTTTAACATTTTCATGCAGGCAAATCGTTAGATACTCTTGTGCAGAATAATCAATAACAATGCAAATGCATTCTGTGAAACATATTCTATACTAAGAAGATACAGATTCCCTACGAAATTTTAAGAGTTTCATATATCCTCTACGGGTACAAAAACCAGACCAATTTAGTACAAAAGAAAAGATTTATGTGCACGAAAACAAACCTGCTAAGAAGGGTGTGGGTGTGACTCAAGAGAATAATAGTATCAACAACAAGACACACACCCACACTTCCATACCTACAATCTCACTTCCACACCCACACCCATCATTTATATTGACAAAATCATGATGTAACTTGATTCTGTGAAACTACCAATCTACTTCCTTTAACATCATAAACATGACTGTACTCATATAATCATGATATAGATTAATCATAGGAAGTAAAACAATATGACATATGGTACATTTTGATAATAATAGGTCATGCATAATTTGTTTTTTTTTGTTTTTTAGAAATAAATCTATTGGTAATTGATAAAAAAATTTTTTCTATTTACATCAGATTTATATGACGTTGTATTTTTGTTTTGTGCTCACCATACTGTGTAACTTGGTAGGTTGCGTTGCAGCCCTCTATATACCCTTATCGTTCGCTTTATAGGTGTTTCTATGTAAAAATGCATGCTTTTTCTTTCTGTTCTCTTGCACACTTATTAATGGCGTGTTCTTCCTTGGTTTTTTCCCACCAAAAAGTATGTTGTAATAGAACAGGCTTGTTTTTTTATCATTGTTTGCAATGACACTTTAACTTGGTATTTCCGACAAAAAGGCAATATATAAACGGTTTTTACCACTGCAGAGGGTCCATTGTTTTTCTTTCACTATAAGTAATGCTTTTATCATTAGCAATCAGGAAAAAACCAGTATTGTGTTTATTGAGATATTTTTTTACCCACTCTGTACGTATATATATATATAAAGTTGCTAGTAAATAATTCTTGTACCATTTGATGATATAAATGAAAGTAAGTGTTTCATAAGCTTTTATTGTTTGAAAAGATCGAATTTTCTAAGATTAATTGAGCTTGTGTGTTTCAGGCTCCAGTCGTGACTGTTATGCACTATTAATAGTATTATACTGGATTAGTTGACCAGTAATGTCGACTCACAAGCTATTACTGGCACTGGTGCATTCCTAGTAGTTACTGTAATTGATGACGAACATCAAAGAAGATCATATTGACTTGTTTATTAAATTTTTTATTGTATCTTTCTATGGTATTTTTAGTTATTTTAAAATTTCGTATGTGTTATTAAGTGAAGTTGATCTCATAAGACGGTAGAATGGTATGCATCCATATAATATTTGTGCATAGAATATTATTCGCTTTTTTTTTTGCTTTCCTTTTACTATTTATTGATAGTGGAACGAATAAGACAATGAAACTGAGAGAAGTCTTACTTTTTTGAGTTTTTCTCTTCGTTCGTTACATTATCAATAAATAGTAAAACGAAAGCAAAAAAAAAGAGAATAATGTTGGATGCACAAATTTTATATGGATGTAATTATATCATTGTGTACATCGATTAAGTCAACTTCGCTTGACGAAACGCCATAAATTTTAAAATAAATGAAAATCCAATAGGAAGCAAAAATAAACAATTTAAAAAACAAAAACTACTGGAATGTTTTAAAATTGATCTCTTTAACATAGTAAAAGAATGAATAAAGATAGTGGGAAAACTATTTTCTATAGACACAATGTTGAAGAACAAATAAAGAAATCGTAAAGAGAAAGAGTTTGTTCATCTATGATGACATTATAGTATCACCGTCACATTATGTAAAATTTCAAAAGAATTGCATCTGACACTTTAAAATATTTGAAATTGAACCGGACGCAATATAGGTTTGAAAAGGTGCGCACTAATTCGTACCCATCTCTGTCTCGTAGAAACAATGAGAATATTTCAACCAATTGATTGATTGTATTTATGTGCATATTATCTATTCTAGAGTTTGATTCCTGAATTATTGATACCAATAATGAATACATACATGAATAACGAGCCAGTTATATTGAAAAACAAATTGGACTTCAGTGAGTGTTTCTCAAAATATTCCTACAATAATACGAAACAAGAGTTATCAAACCATAACAGCGTTATCAAAAATATTGATGCTTTATGTTCAAGACTAAAAAAAAAGCGAGGTGTTCACTCACATTTTGTTATGGAAGCTGCCGGATTTAAATATATAGACCAAGAAAACACAACTCGTTGTGATGATTGTGGTCTTGAGATATCTCAATGGACATCCGATATGATTCCATATATTGTTCACTCAACTCAAAAGCCTGATTGTCCATTTATTCGTTCTTTAAACTCACGAAATTCACTAAGAATCTCTTCATGTTCTTCTTCTTTCTCAAGTCCTGTTTGTACCGATTCATCCCCATCAATAGCTACTGTTAGAAATCGATCAGTATCAGATGAGCAGGAAAGCCCATCAAAACGTCAGAAGATTGAGACTAGTCATGGAAACTTTTATTCAAATAATCTCTTCGAAACTGATAAACTTCAACAAATACGAAAGCGAACTTTTTCCCATTGGCCGCATCGTACTATTCCATCTCAATCACAAATGATTGAAGCAGGATTCTTCAATTGCAACGTCGGTGATCGAGTAATATGCATTTATTGTAATCTCATTTGTCAGCAATGGACACCACACACTGATGATCCATTGCAAGTTCATAAAACTCTTTCTCCAAATTGTATATATGTTAAAACCAAATTAATACGACCGGAAGCAAGATCAATATTAATTGTTAATGAAACTGTAGTCGAAGCTCTTTCAGAAAATCAATCATCATCTTCAAATAATCTTAATCTCTTCCGTTGCAATGAATTTGTTCATACGGCTGCATGCAATAGTGCATATACAGAATTACCAAAACGGACTGCATCATTTGCAACATGGTCCAATGAAAAAATGCCTTCTGTTGAAGATCTTGTAAGAGCTGGATTCTTTTATACTGGTACTAAAAGTATTGTTACTTGTTTTTACTGCAATGGATCATTACAGAATTGGGGACCAAATGATAATCCAATGATAGAACATGCTCGATGGTTTCCACATTGTGCTTATGCAAAACAATTATGTGGCGCTGATCTTTATCGAAAAATACAAGAATCTAAACGAGTCCAACAAGGTTTGTTTCATAATTTAAATTTGAATGAAAACATAATAATAATAAAAATAAAAATTTTTTAACAGAACGTGCCAAGGGAAACGAATCGAAAGAGAGAGTAACCACTATTGGCATGACCGGTGATAATATAACTTCAAATAGTAGACAATTATTAATACCGGACGAAAGTACTTTATCACGTTTTGTTGCTGCTCGACTTGATCTACCGATTTCACAAAGTTTATTATCGAAAAATTTTAAATTATCTATTATTAAACGTTGTTGGGAAGATCAACTTCGAATAAAACGTAAGTTATTACAACTTAAAATATTTATTTGATTATCTCCTATATGCATTTATTTTTTTAGAAGATGATTTTGTAAGTGATTCAGATTTACATATGGCTTGTATAATTCTTCAAAAACAAATTGACTATATTGATGGTAAAAAAGAAAATATTATTATACCAAGTATAAAAATGAAAAAAATTCAAGAAGACGCTGAAAAAGAAAGAGCACGTATGTTGATTATTCAATTCAAATAAACCTTCATTATTATTTATTCTCATTCTATTATAGAAACTCTCGCTCGTCAGCAAACTGTTTCTACTCTTACTCAATTGGCATCTACTAGTTCATCCAATATCTCTGATGTAGAAATGACAACACCATCACAATCAGCATATTCAACTCAATTCTCATCACAACAAACAATAACTATCAATAAAGAAGAAACAAAACTAGAAAAACCAACAACTTCCATTATAAGCAACGAGAATCAAACAAGTGATTCATCGACAACCAATCCATGTGTGCTATGTTTAACAGAAGAAAAGCGATTGGCCTGTATACCTTGTGGCCATTTAGCAACGTGTGTTCCATGTGGACATTCATTAAGATCTTGTCCAATTTGTCGTCGAGAAATTGAAGCTTTTGTTAGAATTTACACTTAACTTGCAAGATCACTCTTCTCACTAACTATTTTATGTCAGTTTAAAATTGGGCAATTGAACATTGGAAAGTATCTTTCAGCAATGATGTTCTCTTGTTCTTGATTGGAAATATACACTATATGGCCAAATGGATACAGTCGATGATCTTCTTAGCGGTTGAAATCACCGATGGAATCCATTTGGAGGTTCATGTCGATCAGCTCCAAGTGTATGGTTAGATAGCGGTAGTAGGAACTGGTACTAGTGAAGTCTGTTGGTTGCTGAATAGTAATCGAATAGTTATTTGTCACGATATTTGTTTCAATAGTTAGCTACTAATTCTTCATTCTGCTCATTGTTGACGTCAGATGGTGATTACAATAAAGATATTTCGAAATCATATGGATTATTTCTTAACTATTGGATGTGTCTAATAGAGAGGTGAAGAAGAAGAGAACATTATTGAAAAGATCACTTATGTTATTTTATTTTTAGTTTTTGTGTTGCTTTTGTCAGTTTTATTATTTTCTTTGTATAGCGGTAATTCTGTCCTGATAGATTATATCTAAACAATCTATTTTTATAATAAAAGGACGAAAATGGTATTTAACACGAATTTTGACTTTCATATATTGATATCACCAAGTCTAAACCTAACATACAACAATTAACAACCAAACTCTACGAAAAAAGACATATTTTTGTTTGTTTAATCGAATATTTTTTTAAAAATTTTATTTCATTGGATAGTAGTGAATGACTAACCGACTCAAGTATATGTATATTACATTGAAATGAAATAGTTCGATTCTAATATATATCTCTTAATTTATTTATCTAGATAAAATTAACTTATCTAGAATATTAATAATTTTGATAATCGAAGGACAGAATCATTTTTTGAAAGAGCAATATAATTAATCATGATGGTGATGAGAGTATCTTCAACTTTCAACAATAACGGTGTCCCGATCAAATCGTCAGCAAATTCTAAATGATTTGTTTATAGTTCGTAAGAGATTATCTATTAAAAACTTGTGTATCTATATGATTTAGAATAGAGTTTTGTCTACTATTGAATAGAACTTTACTGATCTAATCTGATATTCATCGTTTATTTTTAACACAATTACCTTTGATTTATCTTATGGTGTTCATTGAAAGATTTCTATATATTAGCCGTTGTCAATGGAGTATAAATAATAAAATTATAAACCTTTAGTACCAACAAAATATGATTTAACAGAATTTTCTCAAAGACTATTTACGCGTTTACAATTGATTCGTTCTTCGGTGAGGGCGTGGGTATGAGATGTGGGCGTGGGATGTGGATGAGGGTTTGGATGACGAAGAATAGAAGATCCATATCCACATCCACACCACACTCACACTCAAGCTCCATACTCATATCCCACACCCACACCCACGCCCCATATCCATATCCCACACCGCCCTACACCCACACCCCATCCATATCCGAACATCGGCACACTCGCCAACACCGATAACACTGCCGGCGAACACACTTCAACTTCCGCACAATGCCATATGTACTCACACTCACATGAGTAACTGTTTGTTCCTTTTCGAACGGCTCTGAATAAACCTTGCTCTCTTCGTAATTCTTGTAGAATGGTTTTTGCCTTTTCTGATTTTTGTTGTTCTTATGATATTTATAGCGAATCGGAACAAAAATGAAAAACACTTCGGTGGTTGTTACGACTCTACCGATTCACTATCGTTATCACAAAAAGAACAGAAAAGAAAAAGAAAAACTAAAGTGTGTCTGTATGTGTTAGTACTTCCATTTCCAGTGTGTAAAGTTGGAAGAAAGCAGTATTGACTTGCGAATAGCCATGAAAAAGAAAAAGAATAGTTTTGGCGAACTAGGAAGAGATTTACTAATAACGAACAATTGATTAATTAATGAATCTGTGTTTGTGAAGTTTCACTCGAAACTATTTTACTAGACCTATAATCTTTTGTTTGGTTGGTTTAGATTTGAATCTGAAAAAATTTACGTTCTATAGACTCTAGCGAATGTGCCGTCAAAATAAATTATAAGCCGAATCTCATTAAATTATCATATCAATTACCTTTTCTATCTTAAAAGTCGTTGCTATTGCACTTGTGAGCACATCGAACATCTATAGCATAGAAACCAAACTGTTTTGGTAGGCATTATGGCAAATAAACGATTTCTACAGCCAACAACTATCGAATAAACGCAAAGGTGTTTTTTTAAGAAAGAGTATTTCAGTGGCTTGATGACTGGGAAGAAATAAGAGGCCGACCAGAGAAGAAATGGGTATTTTTTCGAACCTAGGTTAACAGTTGGCTTTACATCCGTTCTGAAATGAATACTTGTCGAGCAATAATTAAGATGGGACTCTTTTTCTGTAGTTACCTATTGACATTGCAAGAAAAAAAAACATCTATTTATTCACTCTAACGTATTCAATACATATTTACTTTAAGGTGACGTGTTTGTCTTCAAGGTTTTTTCTTCCTTTTTTTGTTTGCTTACATTAGATTAAAAGTAAAAAAACACGGTTTTTTCCAACTTTCCAATATAAAGGTGAAGTGCATTACTCATACCTTTACTTAGTCGATAGGCTGTTTGCCTCAAAACAATTATTAATGGTTAATTTGCATACAGATGCTTCAATATTAGCGGTTATTCCAGATGCGCAAAAAGACACTGAGCCGGCTAACAAATTAGTTTCAAATGTATCCAAGACTAAAACAAAATTCCACAGCGAACCATATTCATCGCTAAAAGTGCACTCCAATTTTCGAAAAGTCCTAGAAATATATCAAAAATTAGTTAACAAACAAAGAATTCATTCTCCTACAACTATGATCTTAGCCGGATTCCAGTATACAAATAATGGGGATGCCGCTCGTTGTCACAGATGTGGCCTTGAAGTATCAGGATGGACACTCGATATGGAACCATTTACTATTCATCTAAACCGAAGTTCAACTTGCCCATTCGTTCTATCACGGTTATCTTCTCAGAACACAACTAAAGATTCAACGGACAATTTCATGCCAATTACATCAGTATCAAACAATGCAAAGCAATCAGTTCAAATGTCAGAAGTAGATAAAATCAAACAAGTGAGAAAACGTACATTTTCACATTGGCCACATCGATCATCATTTTCCAGCTCACAAATGATCGAAGCTGGATTTTTTAGTTGTAATGTTGGTGATCGTGTCATATGTATTTATTGCAATGTCATTTGCCAACAATGGACTCCAAATAGTGATAATCCATGTGAAATACATAAAATACTCTCACCCAAATGTCCTTATGTTATTGCTATATTGACTCGTTCTCAAACATCATCCATTTTGGTCATCAATGACCATGATCGTACTGATCAATCATTAGCCTCAACTAGTATCGATCCATTTCGATGTAATGCAATTGTTTATACTGCAGCCTGTAATGGAGGATATATTGAAATACCGAAACGACATGCATCTTTTGCTACTTGGCCAAATGAAAATTTACCATCTGTTGATGATCTAGTCAGAGCTGGATTCTTTTATACTGGCAGTAAAACTATTGTGACTTGTTTTTATTGCAACGGTTCTCTACAAAATTGGAGTCCCAATGATAATCCAATGATAGAACATGCTCGTTGGTTTCCACATTGTGCATATGTTAAACAATTGTGTGGGTCTGAACTGTATCGAAAGATTCAAGAATCAAAACAAATCCAACAAGGTTTTTTGTTTGCATATTCAAACAAGCGTAAATACTGTATCTCTTGTTTTTTCGTCTAGAAAGGGTGAAAGCTAATGATGCAAACCATCAATCTGGAACTAGTAGTGGTAGCTCGAGTTATGAGCGTCTTTTGATACCGGATGAGAGCACTTTATCAAGACTTGTAGCTGCTCGACTTGATCTGCCAATTTCACAAAGTCTACTTAATCGTAATTTCAAACTGTCAATCATCAAAAGATGTTGGGAGGATCAACTTAGGTTAAAACGTAGGTCAGCTATCATTTTTTTTATTTAGAAGAAGAGGAACAAAAGTATTTTTTGATTTTTATTTTAGATGAAGATTTTGTGAGCGACTGTGATCTATTCATGGCTTGTAAAATCCTTCAGAAACAAATAGAACATATAGATGGTAAGAAGGAAAACATAATTGTACCAAGTATGGCTATGGCGAAGATTCGAGAGAGAAATCAAGCAGGTAATTTATCAAAAAGTAAAATAAGTAAGGATGTTTGTATGGGCATCATTGCAGAAACTCATGGTCATGAACAGCCAGGATCTGAGTTATCGTCAACAAATTCATCAGTCGGAAGCGATGTTGAAATAACAACGTCGTCATCAGAATCGATTCGGAACAGTGTAACTTCAAGATTTTCTGATATAATGGAAGAGAAGCAACAAGATAATAAGTCGCGAAAAACAGACAACGTTGATCAAAGTGAAAGAAATAGTTCATTACCGACAAACCCTTGCGTGTTGTGCTTGGAAGAAGAAAAGCGTCTGGCATGCATACCCTGTGGCCATTTGTGTACATGTGTGCCATGTGGCCATTCTCTTCGATCCTGTCCTATTTGCCGTCGCAAAATTGACGCTTTTATACGGATATATCTTTGACATTGTGTTCACTAATTTTCATCTCCGATCATTATAGGAAATCGTCAATAATGTGCCTGATTATTTTAATTTTGAATTATAGTTTCTATTTTTCGCATTTTTTATTGTTTCGATGGCAGCTAGTATCCAATTTCCTCCTATGAGTTCATTATTTTTCTCCTTTAGGAAAATTTCAATTAAAACTACTTGTTTATAATATTTTCTTTATGTTTTTTTTTCTCAACATATTGCTTCTTAGCTGCATGCGTAGATATGGAGAGGTGGAGGTGGGAAGGGGACATGGATGCCTGTGCATTCTTGACAGTGTGGGTGCGAGTCTGAGTGATGAGGATCAGGCTGGGTATGAGTGTGGCTATAAAAGAATTGAAAATCCACGCCAACACACCAACACCCACATCCACGCCCACACACCCCACACCCACACCCTCACACCCACACCCCACACCCACACCCACAACATAGCTACACAACATCACGTTATGTACAAGTCACAAAAATCAACATGAAAACAAAAGTTGCTATTGAAACAATTAATAAAACGTACCAAGAATTTCGACGTGGGATGTGGGTGGGTGTGGGTGGGTGTGGGTGTGGGTGTGGGTGTGCATAACAACATCACACCCACACCCACCTTCGTATAATGGTCCATGAGGACCTATGAGTCTCCAATATAGTAGCCCTTAGTGCCTGTCCCTTATAGTCTTATTTGAACTTTGACCCGGCACAGAGAAACACACAGACACGCACTGAACATTATATATATAGATGGTATCAATTAAGAATGTCATGGTATGTCTAGCTCAGAGAATTGAATAAATATGTTTGTTTGAGTCGAATCATTGTATCACGTAGGCATTCTCAGTGAATCGATATGAAATTCAGGTGTTTTCTTTTATCACCATCACTAATAATCGGCCGATATGATCAGGGTTCTCGGTTGTTTTTGAGAGTGCGGGGAGGAGGAGGGCTAAAATGTGGTAGACAGTCCATAAATTTTGCCAGAAAATGCCTTCATATGACTTTCTAGCACATACAAAACAGAAAATACCAAAATTATAGACTTTCTGCGCGGTTTTAGTAGTAGAAAGCGTTTTTATTTGATTTTCTTCCTAAAAAATGACAAAGAAAGCCTAAAACCCAGGTTTCTAGCAGAGTTTAGCAAGAAACTTTAAGACATTTTGTAGAGAAGTTTTTAAAATGTTGGCAGAAAGTCGAATACTTTTTCAAATTTGCAGGGACTAGATCCCAGTCCTCCCTGATTGGAGAGCCTGGATATGATCAATTTATAAGCAGCCAAAATAGCCTTAGAAATAATTTTCCAGCACTGGAGCCGTGCATACTAATAAGATCTACGTCACACATGAAAAACTTCTTTACAGACATCACGTCCCGCAAATTTTTATCCTCTTTTGTGTGTAAACAAGCACTTTTAAATTTTGTACCTTCTCATACACATGGGCTTTATAATAGCTCTTTCGAATAAAGCTTTGATGTGGGTGTGAGTGTGAGTGTGAGCCTTTAGTTCATTCACACTCATACTCATACCCTTATCCCCATCAATTTTGAGTCAAATCTGAATTCCAGAATATTGATAACGAATAAAATCATACAAAACATAAAAATTGTTTTTCTTATTACAAACAATAATCATTTAACAGAATTTCTGGTTAATGTTGTTGCTTGATTTCTAATGGAAACATCACTTTTTACAGATGTTGCAGATGTAGATCTTGAAACTTTTTGATCATGTATTTTTTCATGTTGAGTTGTGTTCCTCATCGACTCAAGTGATTTACTAATCTTTAACATTAAAAAGAACTTTCAAAAAATATTTGAAAATAAATATTAAAAAATTTCTACCTGATCGAAACGACTTTCTGTTCTTGAATTAGTCTAAATCATCAAAAGACGAAATGTGTTAAAAAGAAATTTGAAAATATCAATAAAACTCAATACTTCTTTTAATTCTTGTCGAGTTTCGTTAAGAATTGATTGAAATGTTGACATTAATTCATATAAATTTTCTGTTGTTTTTTGCTGACCTACAGTGATTTTTTCAACATTCGAACTATAAAGGTAATTATTAAATATAATTAAAATTCTAAAGTCAATAGAAACACCGCAAATATACCTCATCGTAGTCAATGATTTACTTGATTTTCCATAATTGATAGTTAAAGTATCATTGTTTTTATTTTTTTGTAATATTGAACGAGCATAACTATAGGTTGCAGCATTTTCAAATAAATCCCATTGTTCATTTTGTGAGTCTTGTATTGGAATCATTTCTAAAGGGTATCTCAAACGTGATGATTATTTAAGAAATTTGTATAACTCTATTATTAAATTAGCTTAATGTAATTATTTTTGGAAGAGGAAAGCCTCAGTTCAGTCATTCACGATTTTACACTTGATCGGTTACAGCAATGATAAACGATGTTCAATTAACACCGTAAGTCATTGCATAGATCAGCTGTAAACAGTTTCATATATAATTATTGTTTTCCATTGTATTTATTCTTAGTCAATGGTTAACTTCAACGATCTCTACTGATTTCAAAGACTATCACACACAATAGATTGATTCAAACTACATCTTGCGTAATAACTGCCTAAGACAGATTATCCATTTCAGGACCTACAAATACGATAGGCCATTTAACGAAATGAATATAGCTACCAGACTATAGGTGAAACCATACTTGCGTACACGAATAGATATGAAAGCTTAGATATAGCATTATGGTCTATCCATAGGTATAAGGATACAGATGGAGATTGTAGGTCTCAGATATTGGCACGTGTGTATAGGTATAATGGTATAGGTCTAAAGTTACACGTGTGAGGTATATGCACAAGAACATATATACTATAATAAGGAAACAGATGTTTACTAATGTCTCCTATTTTACTTTTCATCGGAAGTAAGACACTCTAATGGTACAAGTATCAATGTAAATGATTTACTTGTTTTGCCATATTCGACCTTAATACTATGCCCACCAAAAAGCTAATTTAAGGTAATAAGTACGCCACCGTTATGATCGACTTGAAAGCATAGAATTTGTTTTGTCTAATAAAAATTTATAGATACTGTTTTTCATTAAAATGCATCATCACAACGTTTCTTTTTTCTATTAAATCCATTTCTTTCGTCAGTCTAGTCTCTAAGTCATCGAGATCTTTCATGGTTTTATTCTAGATATTTGTTTTAAAGTGTTCTCATAAAGAAGAAATTCGATAGTATCCAGTCTGATACATGAAACGCGCATGGAAAAGATCTAAATCGTCCAATCCAACTTGTATTGAAGTTTTCATTTAGCTACACGATATTCCTCAAAAATGGTTCACGTACTACTAAACAGAATTTTCGATGATAGATATATTGAAAGAGGTGAATCAGTTTCATAGTTTCCTCAATCACCAAACTTAACATCATTGAATTTCTTTTTGTGGAAACATTTTAAAACACTTGCCCACAATAGAATTGCAATCAAAAGTAGTACCTTTGAACAACATTTATATAATGTTTATTAGATAAAAAAGAAACTCAATGTTCTCGTCCAAATTGTATATGAAATTTTTTGACATTTACTTATATAATAATATAAAAATAATGAAGACCCGTTGAAACTTACTAAAAATACGTGTTAATCTTTTTGATATTGGTACATAATCATCATGTATTACTCGCTTTCGACTCAATTTCAAGTAACATAATCTTTGAATAGTCAAAATAATTAATAGAATATGTGAGATAATAATTAATGGAGGGTAAGATAATGGTAAATATTCGAAATATTCTCGTACAAATGAATAACGTTGATAGCGCCAATAAAATTCTGTGTTTTCTTGAACTTTACCAATGGAATCACTAGATGGAAAAATAAAATAAAATCAATATTTTATGTAGAACAATTTGCGTATTCATGTATTAAAATGTCTACTTTTTATTATTATTGATGTATGACTTCAGTCAGCAAATTACCCTCAAGTCCTCTCAAGGATTAGATGAAAACTGAACTGGCATTAAAACATCATTTAGACATGATAATAAAAAAACCTCGAAATTTGTTTAAAGTTATTTGATGACATTATAGCAGATGTCTAAAAAAATAAAAGCTGGCTTTTCAATGAGTTCATTTTTTTATTTGGCTCTTCAGGAGAACAGGAAGGGATTTTTCAATGGAAAAACGACACAAGTTTCAGAAATTCTTCAAACGATACGTAGATCAACTTCGTTTTCCGTGCTTAATTTGGATATGAAATTAGTTTTGACTCAAAATGAAATTTTTCAAATGTTAACCTAAAAGACACAGAAATTTTTTTTTATTTGAAGAACATAATTTTTTAATTTTTCTAAAAGATTTGTTAATCGAGGAATATCAGAATTTGAATCATTTCAATTTTTAATTTAAAATATCAATCGAAAGATACAAAATGAATAATATATACAACAAATATGCTCATAGTATCTAGCAGAACATCGAACAAATATCTGCTATCCAGTTGTAACTTGAATAACTCGAAAAGGAAAGCAGCTAGAGATCTGCGGTTTTCAGCACTCAAAAGAGAATCATACTTTTTATTAAACTACATAGAAATATGATTGATTGACAATTGACTACTCAGATGAATTCTTGATGGAGATTTTGGAAACGAAATTCTGAAAATATTTCTCATTGTATTTCGAATTTTGACATAATCATTCAATAGGAAAAATTGGGCTCTTTCGATCTACGCAAAGCCGAGGTCTCTATCTTGATTCCTTCGAAAGTTACAAAGGTTTTCCTGAAATCCACGATTGTGGTTAATTGTTATTGAACAACCAGACAATAGGTCTGTGGAGGGATAATTGACCATGCTGAGGCGAATGGTGATATTTATTTTCAGTTGCAGAATAATGTGAAACCATTATATTGAAATTTATACATTTCAAATTTTTCTGTCATGTATCGTAAAGAGATGACATTGCGGAAATCTTGATACAGTGGTTTCAAATTATTTTGCAAGTGAAAATAAATATCACCATTCGACTCAGCATGGTCAATTACCTCTCCACAGACCTATTCTCCGGTTGTCCAATAACAATTAACCAGAATCGGGGGTCTCAGAAAAAGTCTTATAACTTTCGAAGGAAACAAGATAGAGACCTCGGCTTAGCATAGATCGAAAGGGCCCAATTTTTCCTATCGAATAATTATGTCAAAATCCAAAATACAATGAGAAATCTCTTAAGGATTTCATTTTCAAAATCTCCATCAAGAATTTATCTGATTAGTCAATTGTCAACCAATCATATTTCTATGTAGTCTAATTAAAAATACTATTCTCTTTTGAGTGCTGAAAACCGCAAATCTCTAGCTGCTTTCCTTCTCGAGTTATTCAAGTTACAACCGAGTCCATTGTATTTTTCAATGGATAGTAGTTAAATGAAATAATTAATTGATGATTTCGATATGCAATTGAAATCTCATCATAGATCAGTCAGAATAATGAACAAAACTATCCGCCGAATTATATCAAAATCTAGTTGATCTCAGCCATTGATCAATCATATTTGTTCTTGACAGAAATTTTCGAAAACGATATTCTGAAGCTATTTTCCTTATGATTTAGACTTTTAATAAAACGGATCAACAGAAAAATTTTAGAGATATTGTTATAACAGATTTAAATGAGTGAGAATCTAACAAAAAAAACCATCATTACACTCAACATGATGAATTACCTCTGTATAACTGCATATTCCAGGTAACTACATTTCAACTAGTTAGCACTGAATTTTCAGAAAAAGCTTCATGACTTTCAAGCAAAACAAGCTCACCGGAAAAAATGTCTCATATCTTACGAGACTACGGTCATCGCGGTTAACTAATCGGCTGCGTTTATTTAATTTCTTTCTTTGTTATGTTAATTTACTTTCATAAGTCAAAAAAACTAATCGTATTGAATATCTTAAAATTATTTAATATAAAACTATACTTTTTGTTTCGCTTTACGTTTGGTGAATCATCTAATTTTTTAAATTCATGATGATTATGTACATTTTTCTTTAGTATTCAAAATTTCATAGTTTTTATTTTGCTGGATATTTATATTATTTTCAAATACTAAAATTGAACATGTAATGTACTTCTTCTTACCATGTAGATGAATCTCAATCGTTTTCCTACCCAAAAATTGCTTTCCATGCTAATTGAAAAATGTAAAACAAAAAAAAATGAACGATCAAATAGTATAACTTTAATTATAGGATCAGTTATCCGTTTTTTCTATTGATTAGTCTTATTAAAGTCGAAATCATAAGAGAATTAGCTTCAGAATATCATTTACCAAAATCTTCACCAAGAAATCATCTGATTGATTTATTCCTGACTAACTAAATTTTGATATACTTCGATAATCCTATGTCTTCTCTTTTAAAGAATGAAAATTGCCGGACTAGGACTCGATGATGTTTCTATCAAAACTTATTCAAAAATATTGGAACATAATATTTTTTTAAAAGTATATAATAAATGTTCTAATGGCTCGTTTATATCAACATCAGTAGGAAATATACAAAAAATACTGAACAAGTAAGTTGTGAGCAAGATTTCTCTTCTCCATACATTTTTAATTGATACTTACGCAAAAACAGCAACTAGTAAATTGAGTAAAAGAATATTAATAAATAACATATGAAATGCTAACAGAACATGTGTCGCCGTCGCTTCTGCAGCACCTCCTCCTCCAGCATTAGTGCCATTCTTAATTCGCTCTATATATATATATATATATGAAAACTAAATAAATCATTATAAAATAAGTAAAAGAATAATTACCATCAAGTAAATCTTTATCTGAGAATTCTCCATGAATAAACCAATATGGTTCATAGAAAATTTCGGTAAGAATTCCACGACCTGTAAATGGTACTTGTCTATAAAAAATCAATGCTCGAGATACAACTCCATAAGCAGCTATTGCTATGAAAATCATATAGATAAAAGCAAACAAGTCTCGAAGCTAAAATTAATATTCATTTTTTCAAAATTTATTATTTATTATTAATAAAGGATGGAAATCATTAAGAGGACAAATCGATCCACTGCCAGAAGTCTATTTCCATCAAAATTAGATCATTTACGATATTTTATATTGCATCTGAGTTGTCTATCTTTTATCCACATAAAATCCCCGTACTACTATATACAAGTCTATCGTTTTCCTTACATATTAGTAAAATTTACATTTCATTGGTAACTATAAGAGCATAATATAATGATTATTAATCTCTATACAACGTATGTATCTAATCTGGATTGTATTCCAATGAATGAATATGAAAATAATCTACCGAATGAAAAAATGAAAATACATTTTCTATTCGAAATAGAAGAAAAAAGAATTATTTTAGTGACATCACGCGTTGCATAAAAATAGCTCTTGTAACATTACTGTTTCAAAAACGAGTAACATAACTATTCTGTAAGTTTTATATAGTTCATGGATATTTTAGACATCAATTGTAAAAGAAAACAAAGTGTTATAAATTATTAGAAAGTTATATTGTCCTTGAATTATACACGTGAATATGAAATAATTTACAACTTTGGTCTTCAATTTCGAAAATAAATTACTGCTATGCTTTTATACTTCCAACAAAGATATTATTTATTGAAGAACATGCCATGTATTTTATGCTATTCTGCATGGTATGAATGAAAGATCTGGAAGCAATATTTTTGCCCCAATAACTTACTATTTGACACTAGATTTTATGAAAATGTTTCATCCGAAACACTTAGATGCTCATTTCGTCGTTGCAATATTTTAATCGTATTAAATTTATTTCAACGACATTTTTCAAACTATATCAAATACAGATTTGATTATTAACTCTCAAGAAAAGAAGAAAAATATGAGAATAGACTTAAGACTCGAGATAGCAATTACTAGATTTGTAATTTATGATCATTTTCAACGAAATACATAGTCTCACACTTTCTCATTTGCTATTATGCAATAATTTTATAAATTTCGTTGAGATTTATCTATAAATAAGTATTAATTAAATGTGATTATTGTTTTATCTAGGCAAAATGATAGTCTCTATGACTTTTTGTTTGAATATTTTAGTATCATCTAATAGATCTTATGATGATCTATTGATTGATGTATTATCAAGAGTAAACTTCTATCATCAAGAGAGATTGCTATGTGGTGATCATCTTAAGAACTGCTATATTATATTTAATAGTAGTGAAGTTTCAATTTGTTGTATAAATCGACTAAACATGAGAATGAATAAGTGAAAGAACAAGTATCAAAACATACTCTATTTTCGCATGTTTTAGGACATTTCATATGAACAAAAGATGAGCAAATAAATCGGTCTCAGATCCAATATATAGAATATTATAAATAACCTAATCTCGATGAAAATAGGCTTTTAACATGAGGGGGAGGATTTGTTCTCTTAATGTCTCTTCTCTTTTGTTGACTAACCATATTTTTTAACATAAATAATTTTGGTCCTAAAAATTTTAAAACTATAACAAACTTAAGTGATCGAAGATACCACAATTCAAGATCAAATGCCCAAATGATTCTAAAATATATTCGATTAATCATCAAAATTTTTTTCAAAATCTTGAACAAACCTTGCAGTAGAAAGTAAACCTTCATTGTAACTACTATATCGAAAACCAAGACCCATATAAAACAAAAAATATGGTAGAATATAAAATACATTCGATAAAAATGTTAAAGCCGTAGATCCAGTTGAACCCCATCGTTCGGTCATACGTGTAACATATTGATAGCGAAGCTTCATATCACAAAATAAAGAAAAAAATCCTTTTCAAAAAAAGAAATTTTTTATTTTACTCTTCGAGCTTCTTCAACAAGCATAGTTGAAACAGTAATAATCACATAAATTTCAGTCCAATGAGGAATATTAAATGTATTACGAGCATTAAGATGATAAAGCATCATATAACTGAATACAAGTAAAAACCACAGATAACTAATCTAATTCATCAATAATTTCTTTTTTCATTATGTAAAAAAATTAAAATAATGACTTACAAAATGATAAGACATTTTTACCATTGGACTTTCATGAAAATAACGAAAACGTTTCCAATAAGTTGTACATTTTTCATCTTTTGTATTTTGTTTATTAACATAATAGTTTATACCATCTTGAGATAGACTATAATTCAAATAATTCATTTATAAAATATTAAAATATTCATTAATTTTCATTTACTCATCATCCTTTGTATTCTAAAATAAAATATCAAAAAAAAAAAAAAAGAAAGATTCCTAGTTGCCAAGAAAATCAATCATTTTATATACATTTGATGATTCGTCAGTGTCTTTTCGATAAGTGACAATCCAAGGTGCTATTAAGCCAAAACTTATAATTGCAAGACTTTGTGATACTTTTGCTTTTAATTGATGATTACTCAAAGATAATTTGTCAAACCATATTTGATTTAATGTTTGATCATAACAAGCTGTTTCAATTAATTTACTACTTGCACTGGAAATAGCAAGCTAAGGAAAAAAAAATGATTCTTTAAATTTATTATAAAATTTTAAATTAACCTGCATGCATGTTATATTACCAAAAAGTGGTATTTGTCGTAAAAGTAATTCACAAGCACGTTTTTCATTATATTCATAACATTGATCAATAAACATTCCAGCATATGTTTCAAATTCTAATGCTTGAATTTGAAATTTATCTCTCATATCAACTGTTAGTGAAAAGTATAAATATTTTTTAAATATAGCTGAAGCTATAAGAGCAGCACAAATACGAGATCGAACATGAAAAAGTAAAACTTTAGCCATTTCTGGCATATCCATAAAAATAGACCATAAAAATAAATCACGTAATATATGATGTTTTGTGTATTGATTTTCTGTTGGATAAACATTTCTAATATTTTGAATAACTTTTAACTCATGATCTTCTTTAATATATTCATGTGATCCACAACAAGTACATAGACGATTATGCAAATCAATTTTAATACGATTTAAAAAACTATCTTCTGTAACAGTATAGATCGATCCAAAAAAAGATCCAACAAATTTATTTAATTTATAATTGAGTTCTCGTATTGATCTGAAATTTGGTTCACCAAATAAGTTTTTTACACGATTTTGATGACTCTATAGTAAATACAAATGTTTAAGTAGAAAAAAAAAACACAAAAAAAGAAGTGTTTCAAACAAAAACAAAACACAAACCTTGTTCATTTTTTTATAACTTTTGTTATATAACTCTAAAATAAATTTTTGATAACTAGGAACATCATTATTCTCGATTAAGGTTAATAGATCAAAACCAGATGTTAGAAAATATTCAATAAATGTTGAACGATTTTTTTCCAAAGATTTCCGGAACAATTGTTTTGTCCTTTCGATATCTTCCTAAAATAAATCAAATATTATTTTTATTCAATACTTTTGTTTCCATTGAAATGTTTTTTGACTAAGAGATATATCAATATTACGAAATCTGGCAAAATCATTTTTTCTTTACTATTATCTATACAAAAAAAGAATTATTCGCTCTATTATTATAAATTATATTTATACATTATAGATGCTGAAAAATTAGGATTTGAACTTTCTATAGATCTTTTTCTTTGAGTATTTGATAGCAAGTGTATATTGATTTCTCACACGTATGTACCTGAATGAAATTGTTTTTTTTGTTGAAAACGTTCGGTTGTCGTGCTTGTAATATTGGTAAAACACCATCAAAATAATTCCATTCAAGTGCTAAATCTACTAGTTTATCTTCATCTTTTCGACGTTGTTTTTCTTGTTCCAATGTTTCATTTTCGTTTTTCTTATTAGATTTTAATTCAGTCTTCTTGTTTGTAACTATGATACAAAAAGTTGATCAACAAAAAATTATATTTGTTACAAATAAATACCTGTAAATATAGCTTTGAAAATTGTTTCAGCTACATTTTGATCACGATCTATAGAGAAAACATGTAATAAATGACGATTTTCTTTTTTCAAAATTTTTTTAATCTGGTTTGTCGCTGTTGAAGTATCGGAATCAGAAAGACTAGGAAAATATCGATTAAGAGCTTCTACAATTTCTTCCTTCGATGGATCCCTGTTAAAGAAATATCTAATGTAAAAATAAATACAATATTATATTTAATTACCAATATTGATTTCGATCAGGATTTGATGTCTGTTCGACAAGCACGGCGAGCAAATCGGCTACACGACCACTACCCTATATTTAATCGATTGTAATACCATGAATATAACGGAGAGAGAATATGGAATACAAACTTGAATCAGAACAATAGGTCGTTTTCCTTCAATATCATTTTCAAGAACTCCAAGACTACCCACACCTCCTTCAACAATGATTGTTACGGCATAACCTTTATATAGATATTCAATTAAATTTAACGACAATCGGAAAATTTTTAAAAAAAGCTACATACATGTATGACCATCACCGGTATCCTTACATGCTTCAGTAACAAATTGATGACGTTGTGAATCACTAAGATAGTCATACAATTTACCACTATCAAATAAAAGGCAATGTGTATGATTTCGTTCGATTGTTTCTCTATCTTCTCCGACATTTCCTGGAATCTGTCGTTCACATAATGGTGGTGGATTTCCCTATAAAATAAAAACATCTTCTGTATTTGACGACGTTTTTTTTTTTTTTTTTTTTTTTGACAAATATTCTTATTATTTTATCCTTGATTGACTTTTAAGCTCAAGACGTGTATTTTCATTTATTGTACCCCACGTGGTCATTCCAATACATTTCACTTTATTCGGATATTCTCGTAAGAGAGAATAATGTGAAATACCTTCGCCGACTAATTTGGATACACCATTATTAATGCCAGTCGTAAGAATCCATGCATCTAAATAGATTTATTTCTTAATAAAATAAAATTGAAAACTTAATTATTTACTGGCCACTGTAGCAGCATCAATAACACCTCTTATAAATTCTTTTTCAAGTCGTTCTGTCATTGTAAAATATTTAGCTCCACCATAAATACTTAATATTAGAGCTGGTTTTTGTTTTCCACAATCTTCGAAAATGAATTTGAATATATTTTTCATTGGTATTCGAACATCTATTCGAAGAAATTTACAACCACTTGGTTGCAATGTTCCAAAAACATTGACAGATACTGCATCAGAATGTTTGTTATCATCGGGAAATTCTTTTGGAGGATTAAATTCAGTATTTCCCTTCTTTGCCTCTCTAGCTTCTACAGAATTACTAGTGAAACTATGGCGACGAATCATACGACCACAAGGACATATTTTATCTCCAAAATTCTCAGGATTACTTGGTTGTGTATTGTAGATACAACATGTACGTGATTTGAACTTAACGTTTTCACTCCTATGTTTAATGATAAGATCTTCCCATGATTGTGTGTTTTCATCCATTGTTATCTAAAACTTTCAACGATATTTCTTTTATTGATTATTTATATTCAAATTTAATAGACGAAAAAAAGATCTTCTAAATTTTAGAATATCATTGTTCAATTTACAATGTATGAAATTATATTTAAAGTCAATTTCGCTCGACTTTCTTGTGAATAATACTCGCATTCTCTTAAAATTTTTCGATTCTAAAGCGATTTGCTGATCATCCAGCTAAATCATTCTCTTCAAACTCTTAAATAAAATACGATATGAAGAATTTAAAATTAAAATAAGAAAAACATTGCACAAGATCGTGAAACAGTGTATACTATTACAACTCTTACTGTATATGATGATGTGATCTATTATTAATTCTAAATATTCAAACGACCATTTTTCAATGAAAATTACAATTACATACCTTTTTGGATGAAAAAAAGCAGCAAAGTACAACTAGAAAAATAATTCACCATTATTGATATCTCATCTACACTGATGATTTTAAAGTTATAAATATTAACTTTCGCAATCATTAGTGATGTTTTTGGGATCAATAATGAATAGAAAATTTTCAAAACATCTTGGACATGTCCTAGGATGTCATGGTATGAGTCCTATAGTAAAAAAATTCTTAATTTTCTCTACATTTTTGACTGAAATGTCACTATCTATGACTGTCTAAATCTATATTTATTCTTATTATTCTTCATGGTTCTAGAGTCAAGTGTAGATAGGATATCAAAAACGATGAATTTTGTCTCGTTACACATGCTTTACAAAAAAAAAGATTTTAAACTCTAAAAAAAGTAGTTATTTAGAAGCTTGTTTTATACTTATCAGAGAAACATGTCTGTCAATAAAGCACTTGTCATAAAGATGTTTGCTTATTGACAAACATTATCTAAGAAGAAAAAGAAAGCAAAAGAAAATGGCGCACGATTGTACTTGAGAAAGAGAAATTCACTTAAAATTTCTTTCAATATGAAACTATATGCTGATACGAGAGCTCCGAATGAGATGAATCGACGACGGTGCACTGCACAATGGACAACAACGTGGACATTTGGTGAAAAAATGAAAGTGATATTTTTCGCGATTTGAATAATGTCCAATATACTTTAACCAATTGCCGATTTTTCGATAACATTTTTTTTTATTTTAACTCTTTAGAACATCGAAAAAACCTTAGATCTAAAAAATGGCCTGATTTCTGTCAATTTTGAGAAAAGCGTTTTGTTTTAAAGAAAGTAGAATGATTTAAAGAATAAATCATGCAGATTCTGAAAGTAGAGCTCTTGCTCTATCGTTCTACAACAAAGACTTTGCTCTAACAGTCTCTCTGTTAGAAAAACCATGCATTGTTTCTCAACCGAGAGTTTTCCAAAAAAGACGTGTTCAGTGTAGTGAGTGCACACACTTTAGCACAGCTTCAAAACGCGTGAAATTTTCACATAATGTTTAAATCTGTCTGACACATCTACTCACTTAGCTTAAAGATGCGTAAATGCTCTTGGACTGGGTTAGAGGTTTTACAAAAACCTCCGGTTTTCCAGAGTATGCATTGAATGATGTGCCTTTCAATGACTTCAAGACGAGATCACTTTTCAACAAAATCCAGTCATACGTGAAAATCCCATTTATCACTGTTTCCTCCGCAATGACGTGAAACTATGAATCTGCAAAGATCATTAACTAGGTTAATAATGCTCGGTTGTGATACAGTCAGGAACAATGGTAAGATCTTGGATCTTTGGATTTTGTGATCACAATCTCTTGGGACAAAGCTGGATGCTACCAAGGGGGTCCACGCAACATGCTTGGGCAAAAAGAAAAAGAAAAGACAAAACAGTCTTGGCATGTAACAATGAAGACGATAGCCTTTTTTATAGTATGCTTGCAGATAGTTAATTATTTTGAATTTTTTTTTATAAGTTTTTTTTCATTAATTTTAGTTTTAGCATCAATTTTTATTCTTTTTTCGTATATATAGCAAATCCACGAAAAACGACCTTGAAGTACCGGTCTACAATTTGTAAAAAAAGTCTAATGACTTGACCAATTCCATAAAAAAAGAGTTAAGGGGTGGCGGTGGGCACTATATACCATACGACAACGTGCTTTTCCAGTCTGAGCTCTTGTTAAGATTTGCTAAAACATAGAAAACGGTTCAATTTAAGTGTTCTATTAAAAGTAGTTTCCAAAGACCTGGATTTCAAGAAAACCTTCTTGAAGGTTCCGTAAAACTTTTCTATTACCAGATTCAAAATCAGCGTACTCAAAAATCTATAAGAAATGATGGATAAATCGGAACTAGATATATAAAAGACCATTTGGATCTCTGGAAAACCAACTTAAAAGTACTTCTGAGTTCTGCAAACTACTCTATTGAAAAGAGCACATGCGAAAACCTATAAGAAAAGTATTTTTGAATATATTGGAGTGTTTTAAAACAAAATGTCCGCGTGCATGTGAAAAATTGCCCACTGTGCACTGAATTTTCCACACGATTTCTATTAGCAATCCTATTACTTGATCGACTATTGAAGGTCAGTGTCTACAAGAGTTCACCATTATTAACGTTGGTGAGTGCGCATCCACATTCGGTTTAGCATAAGGTATAATTTCTGCAGTTCAAACACTCGAAATCTTATGTCTCAGACCTAAGGATGGAGATAAAGAAACTATGCAGAACAGATACAAGATGCAATAAACATTAAATGAATGAATTATGTATAATAATAAATCTATCGTTTTATACACTTTCATCTTTTGTACCTTAGAATGTACGGAAGGCGTGGGTGTGCATGGAGAGAACACAATATCCACACGCACACATTCTATGATAAGACTCAGTTTATTTAGACAAAGGTGCTTATTTTCGAAATATGTGAAAGTAATATCCGTAATCAGAATGAAATTTTGCATCGAATGATGTACTTATTACAATAAATGGAAACACAAAAGTTGTCAACCTACTCTTGAACGAAAGCTGAGATGGTGTCAGATAAAAAAAATTCGACTAGACGGATTTCACAAAAATTGAATTGTACTTAATATTTTTGGAGTTGATTTGCTATGTCTGGATGCTTTTAATTCAAATTCTATTTTATACAATGTTAATAAAAACCTTTTAGTCTAATCTATTCAATATATTAATGAAAATTTCAACAATATCAACTTATAATTGTTAACTTTAAAAAGGGTGTGGGTGGTGGTGTGGGCGTGCATGTGGGTGTAGGTACCAATTTGGAGAACACCCACACCCTTCCATAATATGATGGTATTTAACACATGCGACATATGGTTATTTTATGATTCAAGCATGTTATCTTGACTTTGATTATTAGAGTTAAAAATCTTTAACTTCAGCAAACTTATCAAAGTTGTTCAATTTACAAAAAAAACAGTTGATTACCATAGGAGGGCACAATAATATAATTTAGTTAGATATTGAAGGTCTTGAGAAGGACACGTTCGTTGTCGTTAAAACTTTCAGAACTATCTAATGATTATTAAATCTATCTATAGGTAAAATTTCAGATCGAAATCTTTCATGTTAGTTTTTTTCCGAAGTGTCGGGCTCACGGTAAAAATTTCAGTAAAATGGCCTTAACTCTTCACCGGTAGGCAATGGGCACGAAACCTTTTTAAGATTTTTCTTATCTCAATAGACTCGAATGAGGGATGAATGCACTAAAGTGGAGCTGATCACTCGGAAATGTTCTCTCGTCAACGTAATTTTCTTTCTTTTATTTAGTTCTCACAACACGTTTAGCAATTTTCTTCGAAGAATTCAGCCGTCATATTATTGTTTTGTTTATTGTTTTAGATTATTCATTCTCATAGTTATGCGTCGCTGTGAGAACAATTCGAATTGGTTGATTCAATTTAATTTTTCTCTTTCATTATTTAGTTATGTTTGTAGTGATGGTTAACTTTATTTGAAAAATGGAAGCTTGTTTACTTTGCTGCTCTTCGTTTAATTGCATAACTACTCTAACTATTCTTTTAACAGAGAAACGCAGAAAGCTAGTTTACTTTACTTCTTTTTTTTTATTTTACTTATTCCGATAGTTACCAGAGATTTTACAGAAGCAACAGAATGAAAAAAAGCACGCTTTCCTTTTCTTTTTTTCTGTTGGTTATTCTCAGTATTCCTCGTCATTTTTCCGAGAAACGTCTAACAGTAAACCGGAGAAAGTTAGTTTAGTTTATTTCTTTTTTATTTTACTTATTCCAATAGGTGCCGGAGATTTTATAAAAAGAAGAGAATGAAAAAAAATGCCTTCTTTTTCTTTGTTCATTGCGCTGTTCTGAGTATCACTCATCATTTTTCTGAGAAAAACCAACACGGTTAGTTTTGTTTATTTTTTCTCTTTTATCGTTCAGTTATCCCTGAGAGTAGTCGCACATTTTATAACAAAAATCGTGTAACTTAGTCTTATGTATTTTTTCTGATAATTATTTTCATACTTTGTTCATTTCTTCTGAGAGAAACGGAAAGGGAGATTTGTTGTCGCTGTTTTTGTTCAACTATTCCAAAAATTCTTGAGTATTTTACAATGGATATTTGATTAGAAAGTTAATCTGAAATTTTTTCTTTATTTAGTTATTCTCTTACTTCGTCTTGTTTTGTAATAGCGTTTAAATAAGAAAACTAATTTTAGTCTCCATTTCCTCGCTTAATTATTCCGATAATTGTCTAGCATCATATTGAAATGAATCGAATAAGTTGGTTTTGTTTTGCTCTATTAATTTCAACGATGATTGCTCTGAATCTCATGCGAGACATTGAATAAGCAAGCTCGGGTTTATCGTTTTCTCGATTTAGATCTGCCAGATATTTGACGAACATTTTATACGAAGGATATGGGTATGGATGAGATTTGCGTCTTCAATCACAACCACACCCCACCCCACAATTCAGACACTGAGTAGGCTCAGGCTCGCGAGGGAACCTCTCGAAGTGATAAAAAATTTTTGGATTCGGACTACTTTTATCTTGTAGACCCTAGTAAGTAGTGAAATACCCCGAGTTGATTTGCCCCCTTATTGCTATGGGAGGGAGTTATGACCGATTTACTGATTTTTTTTTACTTATGGTACTATGTGAGTAGTAGTAGTAAATGAGTGACTTTGGATCTGAAATTTTGTCCATAAAGACGTTTTATGAACACTAGATATCCTATAAGTTTCAGACAAAACGAATGCATCCTTCTTGAGATAATGGATTTTCAAAAATTAACTATTTCTCGCACGAAATAAAAATTTATCTTGCAGGAAAATTGTTTTTTTGAACATTCACTATCTCAAGAAGGATGCACTCGTTTTGTCTGAAACTTATGGAATATTCTAGCGTTTATCAGACCTCTTTATGGACAAAATTTCAGATCCAAAGTCACTCATTTACTACTACTCACATGGTACCATAAGTCAAAAAAAATCAGTAAATCGGTCATAACTCCCTCCCAAAACAATACGGGAACGAACCAAGTTGGGGTATTTCACTACTTACTAGGATCTATAAGATAAAGTTAGTCCGAATCCAAAGGCTTTTTATCCCCTCGAGAGGTTCCCTCATAAGTGTGGGTACGTCTGTTGGTGCTCCTATCGGTGGCCATGTTAGAGCGAATGTTGATATTCGTGCAGCGTAGCGTTTCTCTTCAACTATTCGACCAATTTCACTTATACCCACGTACCCATGACTATACTCAAATTCAAACATCGCAACACATCCACACCAAACATCATAAGTTGCATCCTCATCCGAACTCCAACACCACGAACACACCTAAATCCACCAACCACTATACTTAAACACCACATCAGCACACTCCATACCCATACTCACACTCTTATTCACAACCCTTACATATACAATAAACATCATTTCAGAAGAACTGCTGCCAAACAGAATCACACAATCTAAGTAACATTTTCAACGATGCAGCTGATCAGATGTTATTATTAAAACAATAACAAAAGAAATAGTAAAAATATCCTTTATTTATATTTTAAGATATTACAGTGCATATAGATACATTCGAATAGCTTATTACTTCTTCTGTAGCTAGTACTATTTTTTGTTATGGATACAGGATCAGATTAACTTAAGGTTCATTTTATGTAGCGGCGCGAATATACGAAGATTAGTGACGAAAGTCAATTCATCTATTGGCACCAAAAGCTCATAAAAATTTACTTATTGAATAATAATAGTATCAAAACCTGTCAGTGTACAGTATTAAGTTATAATTAGTCGAATGAAGAACATTACCATTAGCTGCATAAGGAATCGTTTCATACAGTTTCTGTAATAAGTATGATTGCAATTTTTGATGAATAAATTTATATTTTATCCTTCATTCTCCTATTAAGACATGGATACTGAATATTGACATATTCTAAAGTACAAGACAATAAATACTTTACTATGATTGATTCTTTTCATATTTGACTGTAACTAGAAACAATTTTATTTGAAACAATTTAGAGTATAGCATGTTGCTATGATATTTTGATTCTTGTTACAGTAAAGATCCTAGCCAATGGGTTCTTTTTAACTCAAGGTAAAGATGTGTTTATATATGTATAGTTACTATCTTTGTAAAAAACAACGTTTCGATTGGGAAATTTGTGAAAATAATATTATGCTGACTTTATTTGCGAAATCAAAAAATAGAATATTTAATTGAAATGTGTTGCAGCTGATGACTAAATTTTTCATGCCAATTGATGCGGGTCACTAATAGAGTTGTATCGGATTGTTTGTGCGATGAATGAGTAGTTCAGAATTTAGAACTTTGAGGAGGCAAATATATCATTTGCGAAGAGTACCCATATAGTTTTCGATGCAATAAATACGGTCTCAAGGAAAGCATTCCACTTGTAGTTGTGATGCTGCATAAAATATTTGTGGCTACTTCTTTTCGGTAATGAGCTGCAGTTACCGAGATGCATTCAACTTTGTAAAGTTAAGTTAAAATAAGGCGTTCAGTAATTCTACTTTATACGAAAAGAACTGGTCATAATCTTTCAATGCTGATAAGAATATTTGATCATCAGCATGTACTTAGACTAATGAGAGTTGATGAATTTATTACAATTCAAAGTGCTGAACTGAAATTGATGCGTGTCTACATATGATTAATTACAACTAAACCATTTTTCTTTATAAAATCTCATGATAAAAGAAGGAGAGGTAAGAAAACTATTTTGTCTGAGTTAATTGTTTTAGTAGACAATTAAACAAGAGAATGCATATTAACAATAGCACTATTACTCCTTCAATGTAAGAATTATATCCAATTCGCTCGTATCTTAAGCCCTGTATTATCATAGTAATCATCAACTGTTTACTTACGTCTTAGGGCAAATATTATTTCATAAATCTTCACAACGAGTTAACCAATTGCTTTAACGTTTGTGCTGAAAGTGATAATTTGTTCTCTAGAATTATTAGTATGCTTTTAGAAGTAGTCGAATCATTTTCGAAGACTGTGCACATGACTTTCTTTTCCGCTTGTGCTAATAACCTAACCAGAAGGAGTTTTTTATTATAATTGTTGATTTTGTGATGATTTTATCTATTTTATAAATCATCAAATGCTATTCTACACGGATCGATCTTTGCGAGTGACACAGTGAGTTTTGAGTAGTTAAGAATGTTATATAAATGACTTGAAGAGGAATCTTTAAGAAACAGAGCATGAAGGCCCTTCTGGTGACAGTGTTCATACTCCTCTTACCAGTGTCACGAACAGACTACGAGGGAAAAAGAAATAATTCATTTTTCTATCATTGTATAGAAAGAGAAAGTATTGATAAAATATTTTTTATAATGTCCTATAGAAAAACAAACCGACAATATTTTTATCAATTACTTCGAATTCGTAATAATTGTACTTTCATCAACATTCAACAGCAAATAAAAATCGAAGATGATGAATCGCTTTGGTGATATCGATGTTTCATTTAAGAGACTTCCACCTGTTTATGGTTATCATGCTGAAAAACTTGTGCCGATTGAAAAAGCACTAGAGCCTGTCGAACCTCAAATTGATGAACTGCCTCGTTTTATAAAGATAGCTAAACGTAATTGTCATTTTCCATCAGAACATGGACTATCACGTGATCAATCAGCTGCTGTTTATATCTATACAATGGAATGGGGTGATACTACTTTATATCGTGTATTAAATAAAGCACTACGATCTGAAAATCGACAAGCGTTAAAGATATGGTTTCCATATTTAAAACTATTTGATACAGCATTGGATAAGTTACCTACTGTTAAAGAGGCGGTATGGAGAGGCGTGCCTCTTGATATTGGCAAAAACTTCGCCGAAAACCAAATTGTGACGTGGTGGAGTGTTAATTCATGTTCGTCATTGGTCAAAGTTATTAAAAATTTTCTTGGTAACGACAAAAACTCAACTCTTTTTCTTATTGAAGCTGTTAGTGGAAAAAAAATTTCTGAATATACAGAATATGAAAATGAAAATGAAGTTATTTTACGAATGGGCTCACAATTTCGTGTGAAAAGCGACCCCTTAGAGCAATCGAATGGCTCCCATCTTGTACATCTAATTGAAATTGATGACAACGACGATCAACCATTAGCATCAGGTATGAATGAAATGCAACTGACTGCAAAACCACCAAATAAAAGTATGTCGCATAAGTTATTTATACGTTTTCTCAAGAAAATGACGTTTTGTATGATACATATGTGTGAACCAAGAAAAAAATGTCTAAATACTGATTGGTTTATATACGATAAAGACAGAAATTAGATAATTGTATAAAAATATTTAATTGATGAAGAGAAAATTATAATAACGAAATTTCAACAAATGCAAAAGAATGTTTGATTTTTTTTTGAATGAAAACTTTTTCACGAATTATTTTCATCAAGAAAATAGTATTTAGTAGAATTTAACCGCTTTAACAGCTCCAAGTGATTCCATCCAACCCGTGGATCCGACATCGAACTGTCTGAGAAAATCACGTTGTTTATCAAAACCTAGTCGGATTAGGTCTGGGTTTTCGTCAAAAGAAATCATTTCAAATCTAGTAATTCTGTTATGTCGAACTTCTCGAAATCTTTCTCTTTAAAACAATTTGACGACACTTGAATGAAGGTTAACAGAATTCTGTTGATTATTGCTCTCAGCCTTTCACCTATATACTCATTCTCGTCCGTCCAATATTTAAGCTCTTTGGATTCCGCTGCTTTCTTAAGTTGTCTGAGTTCCATGAACCTTTTCACTTTAAAAAAATTTTCGTATTGTGGCAAACTCCGACAATAGGATGTATCAAAAAATCTTGCAAAACTTCTAGAGTTTTATCAAATTGAAATTCAGTATCCGTAACTTTGCAATATGCTCAAAGTTCTTCAGCTAATAATATCATCTAAAACTCCGAAAGACTTACAATTGTTGATAACGAGACACTCTTATTTGTAAACTCTCATGAGTCTTCTGAAATGTTATTACTGGTAATGTTCAAAAGATTCCGACACCGTGCTGGAAATCATACAGACATTAAAGGTTTAGAAACCATGTTGTTGTTTTGTACTTCAGTTTCTTACTATCATTCATTTCCTTACAAGATATTGCACATAGGTCACGGCCACTCCTAGTAGAGTTTTGTTTACGCGATCTCGCAAATTGAGTCATTGTTCTTACAGTAGATATATGCATCTGAGTTAGGAATAAACTGAACACTTCAGTTTGAATGGATGAGTCATTCTGAAGATATAAGTAATGCAAATAATTATTAGGTACTCGGCTACATTTGGGGTACTTTGTAGACCTATACTTTTCAGTATATTACCATTTATCAACGAACAATAAAATTAATAGTAGTGGTTGCTTTTTATAGATGCTAGCTACCATGGGGTATTTTTTCATAATACTGGAAGTTACTTATCACTAAAAAATAATCTATCATGGTTTTTCATATTCATGCTCATTCGTATAAAAAATTTGGACTAAGATGTTTTCTCAGTATGACCTTTCAATTGATGCACATAAATCAAACTTTTGAGAAAAAGCTATCTATTTCCATAAATCTTACTTTTCAATCAAAAAGAACCACGAGATTATGTTTGATATGTTCTAATGTATTATTTACTTTACGGAGTCTTCTGTTACGAGAGATTGTAATATAAATTTTTGTACGTTAAGACTCGAGTATCATTGTCACATGTTAAAGAGATAATATTAAGTTGGTTTATAGTAGTTACATTTAAAATACAAGATAGAATACAGAAAGGATAAAGACAAAATGAATTCGAGTAAATCAATGAGATTTAAAATATTTTTCTCCAAAAATAGTGTGCCCGATAAAAATTGAATAATCATCAAAACTATGAGGTATATGTATGGGAGATAATATCAGTGATGTATTGTAACGAGATAATGTTCTAAAACAATTTTCGACTATTCATCTCTGACATTGGACGGAATCGTTGATTGTTAAGTAAGTATTTATCATATTATATTTGATTAATAAATTTTCGATTGTCAATCGAAAAAAAAAATCTAAAACAAAGAATCACTCGATTATAAAAGACAGTTAATCCTCTATCCATCTCGAAAATAATAATTTTTTGTTTAAACTAAAGAATTCAAATCTAGTAAACCATATTTGAAAAAACAAAAAGACGTTTTTTTATTATTCAAAATTTCTGATCAATAATTATTGATAAAATATCTAGGGTCGGCGTGGGTGTAGATATGAAGAAAAGAAATACCCACACCCACACCCACACCTACACCCTGTCTCGAAATATTACGGGTGGGCCATAAAGAATGAGAGTGCTATTAGTTTTTCAATATCTTTTCTATTTCTCATCGAATCGAATTGAAGTTTTTTCAAAATATTCAGCATTTAATTTGCAAGAAAACTTTACATAAACGTATTCCATTTATTTTAAAGGAAAAGCGTTAGCGAAACATTATTAGGAGCATACTACTTCAACAAATTTCAAAGGCACTACCAAGAAACAGACTAGAATTAAGTATCCTTCTTGAATCTGTTTAAATTTGCATAGTTTTGTACAGAACTTGTATTCACATGATTTGGCGTTTAAAACTCGGCAAGTCCAAAAATAACTTGCTTTTACTGTGATGAAGGAAGGCAATATTACTCTTCAATGCTTTAGTGAATGTGTCGTATAGATATCGAACTCTGATTTTCTATTTTGAGGTGCTTTCATGGGAGCTTTCTGTGGAAGTTTCAATGAATTCTATTCTTCATTTAGTAGAACTTCAAAAACTCTCTCCTATATGTTGAAGAATTTTCACCATGAAACTTTGTTGTATCAAAAATGCAAAATTTTTATCCCATATAAAAAAAAAAAGATTTTTTAAATCGTGAAGAAAGTCTTGTCTAGATCATACATCGAAGTTTCATTATGACAATTACTGAGTATACTCATGAGGTAAAACTTTCGGAGCTCGATAGTTTTTATTGTTTGGTTTGTCGATATATTTCGCTGTAAGATCGCATAGGTGCAGAAAGTTTGTTTGCGTGTTAAACTGAATCTTTTGGAACAAAAAAGTACAATTCAATTCGATGAGAAGCAGAAAAGATGTTGAGAAAATAAGGAAAACCTCATTATTTATGGCCCACCCGTTATATAGTCTGAATGCTAGACATTCTCTGGTATGTGTTCGCTCTCTAAACCTTTTTTCTCATAGTACGTAATGATTGACAACTACTAATTAGATAAGAAATTAAATTTTTATTAATACTTTTCTTATGAATAGAGATTCATGTTTCTTTTCGGCGATCTTAGGTGAAAAGATCGGTCCAGATTAATATAATATTATCGCGCATACTGTCTTGATAAGAATTGTGTTG